ATACATGAAATTTTCACTGAATGTTTATATAAGTACCAGGTATCTATATTCTATCCACCATGAAATTTTTAAAAATTTTGACTTAAGTTTAACTATTCGTATATGCAATTTTCAATCATTATTAGTTTTTTTTTAAATTAAAATCGATAAAAATTTATTTTTTAGGTAGAAAATCTTGACAATTTAATACAAGGCTCTTAACATATTATTACAATAGCAATTTAAAAATAAAATAAATTCATAGTTACAATTTTTTTTTTTAAAGCATTCAAAGCTTGAATTTTGACAAAATACGTAAAAATCACAAAAAATCACAAAAATTCACAAATTATTTTAAGCTAGAAATTAATAAAAAAATTTCTTTTTTAAACTAAGATTTAAAAATTTAATATATGATTCCTTACAAGTTTTTCAATCTTTATCACAAAAAACATGTCCACTGGAAATGCAAATTAAATTTTTATTAGCATTTGAATTTCAAATATTGACAAAAATTCGTCAAAACCATGAATATTTGGGAATTATTTTGTAATTCAAAATTCATAATATTGTTTGTATTTTTATCTAAGGTTATAAAATTCAACAMTAAGTTTTCCATAAGTTTTGMTTCAAATAGCYATAGAGAAAATTTGAAGCGTCATTATAGGAAAAATGTTTTGAGCGTTTGAGTTTAAAATTTTTATGAAATCGCGTAATGATAACGAACAAATTATCTCCGTTCAGAATCGTTTTTCGTGTACAATGATACCTATCATTGCATTCTAACCTACCCTAGTCAGAGGTCCACCCCATCCCTTAATGTACAGCAGAGCGACATCGACTAACCCGCTTTTTAAATTTGCGCCAACAAAAAATAGAGAAATCTGAAGAGATATTTAAGTTTTACAATCCCCATCAACTTCAGCAAGATATTCTTGTTTTAAAATATTTATAAGCCACAAGGTATACGAAAAGCGATACCTTCATTCACGAGGGAAACTAAAGTATTCCCAAAAGGGACAATAATTTCAACTGCTATTTTTGGTTTTTATCAGGGGATAAGGCATCAACGCATTTACCCTATTTGTACTTCTTAGGTCCTGATTTAGAAGGACGGCCCCAAAGTCCCATTTCTGAGGTTCATAAGTTCTTGGTAGATCTTCCTTATTATTTTTAAAACAACAAACTGGAACAATTTGCTTGCAATTAGGCATTTTGGCCCCCGTTTACTAGCGTTCACAAGATACATTTAATATATTGCCTGTCGAACCATCCTAAAATAATTTGAAAATTAGTTAACATATTAGAAAACTTACATGATTGGTTAAAACTTGCTGTAAAAAAATTGCTTTCAAAGGATTGTCGTTACTGAAGCTTACGTATAACACTATCACACATTCTCCAACTTTAGAAGACTCTCCTAAAATTTAATTTCTTAAACCTTGGTGCAACAATGTTTGGCTTTTATTATTTGAAACATTGAAGTTTAAATAAATAAATTTAAAACCATGTTTAATTATCAAATCACAAATAAAAGTTAGTAAGTTAGTTTATTTTGTGCATATATCGCTTAATTCTTATAATGACTAATGATTTAGCTCAGTCAAGTATTCTAAATTGCTACAATATGAGTATTAATATAAAAATAAATGTTTATAATTTATAAATAATATTGGTTATAAATCTAATAGATAAATAGGTAACTAGTATGTTGTGAAGGAAAATATTTCTCAGGTTCAGTTCAAGCATTGTCCACTACTAAGCTGTCCATTGTCTATACTTCAACTGAAGCAAAACGAAAAAAAAAAAAGAATATTGATTAATTTTAACTTAGACTGATATTATATGTCTTATCTACAACAAAATATTTCACCTTTACTGCTATGTAAAAGTCCTTTTCAAATACCATTTTATTTAGATACAAAAATTCATTATGCAATTAAGCAGTAACTAACATCAATGGCTGTTACGCTTCTGCTATGATATTTATAGCAATTATTTTTTGTGCTTTTGAATTTCTTTATATATCATATCTATAATCTATTACTATTAAACTATTCAAAATTAACTATTGTACAGAACCTCATACACTACTTGCAAGATATTGATTCAATAAAAAATGCATGGTGATTGTCTATGCAACCATGCACATATATTTTGTATTTCATTAGTTAGTTTATAGTTTGAAATATGTACACTAAATACTTTAATATGATAGGTATCTTATGAAAAACTTATCAGACTATTATACTTATCCTTACAATTAAAAATAAACATTTCATAAAATCATATACTAAATTGCAAATTACAATAGAAAATTGTTATAAAAATGTATAGAGAATATTATTAGGATAAATGTGTACACTTTAAATCATATAGATAKTGGAGACACTTTATTTTTTATTTCACACAAATTATACATAAAATATGTTTATGATATTAAAGTAAATACATAATAAATTAAATTGTTGTACTTAATAGGGAGATAAAACTAAATGTCTACTTAGGAAAATAAATACACTACATAATTTTGGTATAAATATGATATGCTACAAAGGAAAAAATGTATAGTGTTTATGATTCAACAAATAAATATTATAAATCATTTTAAATTAAATTATAGAAAACATGTGACCATAATGTAGAAAGTTGCAATATTTAGCATTATACTAATATCATATAAACTATTCTTAAGCACAAATGAATTTATTACATTATTAAGTATGTGCAATGTGCAAGTTTTAAATAGGTTTATTAATCTAATAAAAGTTTTATGTATGATAAAGCAACAAAGGCAGCCGTTTCTTGAGCTTCTGTCGTTGATCTGCCATTACCGATAAACAACAGCAGAGGAGTGACGGTTAATTGCACTAACATTCCAATATCAGCTGAAAAAAAAGAACATGGAATAAGTAAATTATGACTGTTATTTTAATTGATCTCTTACATGATTTCTTTGTCATCAGTACATATGTAATATTAAAATTTTCTTCTTTAGCGATTGCACTCAAAATTTCAATGGCATTTTTTCTTATTTCAATCGTAGAGTTGGTATTCTGCGTACAAATGAAGAAATATACATATATATATTTAGTATTTAGCATGGTTAAATTAAATTAATGTATTACCCTTAGTTTGTTTAAACTTTGGTTTTGAGATAACTTTAATCGGTTAAAGAATACTTCCAAATGTTTTAGATTATTTGTATGATCTAAATCATTAATTTCCTTAGTGTTTAACATGAATTTACTAGGTTCTAGATATTCAAATTCTTTAGCCTCAGGACTACTCTGATAAGGAACATTTTTTATTTTTTCATACATGATATGAGCAGCTTGTCTTTTAGCTGCTTGCTTTGTTTTTCCTTCACCTATTCGAAAAAACATTTTAATTTTCATCACATAAGTTAGTTACTAAGTGTGCACAGATACAATGGTGGCAATTCTATATAAWCAACATCTAAATTAAGTGTATGTTTAATATTTAAGAAATACTTAAGAATAGAACCTACAGTTCCACAGGCTAATGATCTTTGTTGTTGAAGCCTCAACCCAGTCAACCCTAATAATAATAACTAAAAAATAAAAAAATACTTAAAAGGGTAGTTACAACAATCAATGTGATAATACATGTTTTTTAAAAACATTGAAATTATTTCTGAAGATTGATTATTGCTATTAATGGCATTATGACAAAATAGAAAAACAAAAATAGTATAAGAAGTATTCACAACAAAAATGTATAGATTAATTTCAAACTATTCACAAATATCATCTTTCTAAAAAAAAATTATACAAATTGCATAGGTACATTACAAATGAGATATTATGCCCTTATTTAAAACCAAACAATAGAAATATATTTATAAACTGTGGCCTAGTGCTGTTGATTTTCAATAGTACAGTAGAACTTTTTAATATTTTACTGTAAAAATTCATACAACTCATTTGAGTCATATTTTTGTTTCTATTATTTATTTGAAATTCCAGTAAATAACTATGCATAAGTTCAAAAGGATGTATAACATATTATGCGATGTATTGTATGCAAGTATTTTCAATTACATTGGTTAAATTCATACGCACCACTCTGACAATGAGGCATTTTTCTTGTCGGTATGGTGGGAACTGCAGGGAAAATGGTCGCCTACTCTAAAATATAAATAATTATGATAAAATGTACAGTATGTAATGTAATTATAATTATTTTTATAAAATTTTAGGGTTGAAACGAAGTCAATTTTACACCTTTTATGAAAATATTTGTAGCTATGAAATATAATTATAACTATTATTATATGTTGTTTGTAAAAATTGTAATTTAATATTTTTACCAGAAAATCAGATTAAGGATTTAGATTTTCAGAAAAAAATTTGTCACAAAAAAATTTGTTTTCTCATGTTTTTGAAATTCAGGCACTTGCTAAGTCTCTACATAGTCTACATGAACTGTACTAGTTGACCTTAATTGGTATTGATCTATTTGTAAATACCTTGGCTCGGGTTACCTTTATTTATAGTGCCTACTCAAAACTAGACAAATTTTCTATGATATTGCACTTCTTAATTATTGCATTAAGCGTAAAAATATATTTTGTTCTGTGTACTAAGTGAAAGGTTTGTTACCCTTTTTGATACTATTGTTAATATTATGTACATGGTTTCAAAAATATTTCCTGCTGAATCTTGTATCTTACTAATTTTTAGAAGTTGATTTAATTCATCATCACAAATTGTTTCGTTAAATAAATTTAATGAATATTTATAATTTTTCAGGCTCCATAGAATTTTCTTAGCAAAGAGCTTTTTAAAGCTTTTTAAGAGCTCCACAATCAAAAAAAAAGTTAGTGAACTGATGGTTTATATATATATATATAAGCTGTTTGGATCCATCGAGTTTTTCATTTAACTAGTTTTATTTTATATTTTTATTTGCAGAACATGTTTTTAATTCAGAATATAGAAAGGTGTTCAACTTCAACGATTAAACTAATATGATAAGCTTTCAATAAAAGTATATTGGTACATAATATACAATTTATAATTTATTTTTATAATATTATACAAACTATACTATACTTCTTAATTAGAAATTAACTTTTAAATGCATATATTAAACACGTTAACCACCATATGCCGCAGGTGGTCATCCAATTTGGTTACCCTAAGCATTTTTCAACGCCATTCCACATTTTTATAATGTGATACAGTATCTATAAGAGTATTAAAAATAACTCATAAATGTTAATAATGTAAGACCATACTCATTTATGGTTGCTGGCGATCATTTGGCATGGTAATAATGATTAACAACTATGGATGCCAGTGGTCAAAAAAATATAGAATTTGAACATTGCTGTATGAATGAGCTAGAGTGTCAAAATTTAAAACGAATTTTTAAGTTATAATTTTATATTTTTTTACACTTCTATTACTAGAGCTAGGATTTTAGTGACTCACATTTATTTTTTCTCTGTGTTTTACAGATCTAATCAAAAATTAAATTTTTTTAATGATATAGGTTACAATTTAGAATTTGTGATTTTTATTAAGCATTTTTTACAAAAAAAATATTACGTTCATTTTGTGTATTTAAACTAATTTTTGTTTTATTTTAGGCTTTTTTAATGAGTTGTATAGTTAATCCCTATTAGTACTTATAGGCAATTACCTACTCCAATCCATTGATATTGAAAAAATAATATTATTAATTATAAATTTATCCAATAAGATTAGATATTGAATGAACCTAAAACAATATAAGTATACAATAGAAGCTTTAGTAGTGAATACGACACGTACCTATGTAGTTCTACACCGACCTTAACTGTACATAATACTGAATAAATAATATCGCAACTAATATTAAAACTTTAAAAATCTTAAAAATGCCTAAAATTTAGACAACAGTAGGAAGCTGTTTAAATAGTTTTGTTGAGATAAAAAATTTTAGGTCATAGTAGATGAAACAACATATTTTAAAGACCTTTATGTAGTAAATGTTGTTATTGATACCCTTGAAGCGGAAAATTCAAGAAAAATATTTTTGTTCTCGTTTGATGTTTTGGAAAAAACAAATCATTCAACCATTGCAAAAGAATTCGATAAAGCCATGTTTGTATTATGACGTGAAGAAATAAAACAAGATAAGGTTCTAATTTTTATATGTGATGCTGACCCATATATGGTGAAAGCAGGAAGAGCCATTCTGTATTCAAAAATGGTATAAGTAATCTGTATGCAATTCATAGAGTTGAAGAAGATAAAAGACCAAATTTTCAAAATTATAAGTTGTGTAAAAAAATATTTTTTAAAACACCATATGGCATATTGTATAAAATTTTTTAAAACTTGCGCCAGGAATTCCATTACTACCCAAATCTGTTATCACACGATTTGGGAACCTGACTGAATGTTGTAAATTACTATTGTGAGAATTTTTCTTATGACAAGTTTTGCTTGAATTAAATCATGAAGATTCAGCTATAAAAGAAGCAAAATAAGTTATGTCTAGATCGAGTTTAAAAGATAACCTAATATATATAAAATCTAATTTTGTTTTCATTCTTTCAGAAATAAAAAATCTGGAAGCTTCTGGGATCTTATTATCAGAATCTATTAATAAAATAAAACAAATTGAGACTACATTGTCCTTTGTTCCTAATGTAATCGAAGAAACAATATATAATAAACTGAAATATAATGGGTTCAAAATTTTAAAACATATATCTGCTATTCATCATCGGCCATCGCACAGTGAAAATATAAGTAGAGATGGTATTCTGGAAAATCTAACTTTAAATGATATGGTTCATTTCAAATATGCCCGTTACCCTTATGAACGTCAAAGTTATTCTTTACATAAAAACATTTAATCTCACCACAGTTTCATGTTTGAAAATCTTAAGAATTATCTTATTGTAAAATGCAATAATATGTATACAAGTGAAAAAAAATTAAATATTTTTCATTAAATTATTTTTTCAGAATAAATATACCCTGAATCGAACACAATCACAAGTCAACTCAAATTTGAATATATCTGTTTAGTTAATTTCTTAAAACAAATTTTTACCTATTTAGTATAATAATAATAGTTATTATTTTAAAATTAAATTATTTTTGCTCATCTAAGTTCATTTTTATAGAGTTTTATAGGTCACTAAAATCTTAGCTCTATTTATTACCAAAGTAAAATAAAAATAAACATAAATTAGATGTTACAACACATAACCATTATCCTAGAAATGTCTCTTATATTCATAAATTAGTTGTTTTAAATTCTGTTTAGTTAGTTTTGGATAGAAAAGTATGTGCAATGTGCATGGACTTAATTAGTTTTACAATACACAAACATTATTAATTCTCACAAATGAAGATTGTAGGATAATACTGTAGTATTATTAAAATATGATGATATTACATAAAGCACAATTAAAATATTATATAAGTACCTATTTAACTACTTAATACTTTTTAAGTTTTAAAATGTTAAATTTTAGTTTGTGAATTGGCTTACCTAAAGATTGGAATTCCCTAAGGGAACATATCACAGAATACCAAATATTATGTGTATCATTGTGTTCATCACAAGGAAAATTGTAATTGGGCAGTTCCCAATGACGAGCCATGCACAACTCTTGCAGCACACCAATAGGGTTTAATTTTGAAATTTCATTTAAAATGTTTTCTTTGCTAAAAACAAATTAAACATATATCATTCAATCTAATTTGATTATATATCATTCATGTTTAACCATATACCTATACTCTAAAGGGCTAACTTTGCTAGGTGAAATGTTTGAAGTAGTTGACGTTATGGTGTTGTTTCCATCATTATCATCTAATTTTTTCAAAAATGCAGCAGCTGCATTTTTCTTTGCTTCTTTTTTTGACACACCTTCTCCATAAGCTAAAACCAACATTTTTTAAGCAGAATGTTAAATATGTTTTACTTTAACTATAGATCTATTGATAATTTACCATATAATTCATTATTTTCAACAATAAATTTAAAAATTGGATTATGTACATGGCCTGATACGGAAACCCACTTATATTCTACTACTTGCTTTTTTAACAACATAATTTCATTGAGTTTAGTAATAGGAGATTTTGAGTTGTCCAGTTTTATCTCCTAAATCAAATTTAATTAATCACATTGAATAATAAGTATAATATTAATAATAAACTGTAATAAACATAATAGGTACATATTTAAACGTAGAAAGTTAAAAGTATCAATAAGTTAGCTATAACATATTGGGATACTGAATAGTTTTAAAGTAGCAATTGGTAGAGTTGAATGTTAAGGAGATTTGTATTATGTAATAACAACTTACTTTGAATTTTGTTGGTAAGTCCATTTTTTGCTCTTTACTAGAAGTTTTCTTGAAATTTGTATTACAGACTTTGAGCTTATAACCTGTTGGTGCATCCATGTCGTAAAAACCAAAGTTATTTCTCTGGTTATATTCCTTGGACATTGGTTCCTGTTGTGAGGAACATGATGGTTTGTCCAATGGAGTAAGACTCTTTGGTAATTCTGGGTTTAACAATGGCTCTTGGATTGGACAACCTCTATCAGGGTATTCAACTCTATTCTCATTCATTGTGTTTTGACCGACCATTTCACTGTTGAAATTTGGAACGACGCTCATCTCAGATGGCATGTTACTGGACATCACCTGTGCAAAATATGTGTAATATGAACAACAAATAGCACTCAACAGTGATGTGATCAAGTGACAATGTAACCTCTGAACCGAACGTGTGCAAAGGACGTTTTACAAAATTCGTTCGGATTTTATAAGTGTACAATAAATATCACAGTACAATGTACCAAATAAGAATTAAAGTTATTATGAATAAGGTAGGTTACTAGGAGGTAGTGAATAAAACGAATAACGATAGAAATATCCCAGGCGACGGGTAACGTGATTAAATTAGTGTTAATAAAATATAATATTATACTCGATATTATATAATTATTATTGTTCGGTGTTGATTTGGTTATTTATAAACAATAACACGTTTGCGCTATCGTAAGACCTGTACGGGTAATGATATCTGGATCGTTAATACTACAATAGTATAAAGTAATGTACTTTTAACTATAATACGTACCAATATAATATATCTGAATTGTATTGAAAACGTCGACGAAGTCTAATAAACGATCATCACTTAAACGCTAAAATAAAACTACGAAACCTCGTTTGAATTGAATCCCAAAGAGCTTATCGCCATTCACCAGTAGCAGGTGCTGAAGCCTGAAGGTGCTCACTGATCGAATGTATCATGTAATAGTGTAAGGGCCAGTTGTACCGTCTACGGTTAAACTTCGATTACGCTTAATCAGCTGATAACAGATRTTTAACCGTGCAAATTCGGCCGATTAAACTCCGGTTTTATTATTATACTAGCCCTCCGTGCTAGTTATTATTATATTTTTATTTATCTTTAATCAGAGACGGTACAACTGGCCCTAATACGTATAATATGGTATATTCTATATAAAGTGGAGTAGGGAAATCCAAAATTAGAGCGACTGAAGGCACTGAAGAGTTACGATATCCWCGAGTATGCATTTTTATTTATCTGTGAWCATTGATATCAAACTATTTATTTTATAATGGATGCGCCGCATAACACAGAAATCTGTAAGCTAACATAATAATAATATCTTATCAATTATCTGTACATATTATGTTTTCTCTCTCTTACAAGAGTTTTAATTTCCTTGTCACACAGAAGATGTGTGCGAGTGAGAATCATAGTTTCTCTCTCCGTTATGTTGGCCTAAACAGTAAACAGTGTATGTAGAATGTATAAAGGAATGCCGTATCCATAATATGTTTAATATCAATGTTTGTGTCTTTGTGACACATAAATAAAAAACGAGTAATCGTGTTGAAATGTTTGAAGTTCTGGACATTGTGATTGCATATTTCACACGTCATGTGCTCCTAGATAACAGATGTTATAAGTGATAAACTGATAACGATGTTTTTTTACATCGTGCAGAGAATATCGTGGCAGATAAAATTAAATAAAGAATTAAATATGCCTCTTTACTTTATGATCTTTACTAATAGTTGATATTATATTGATTATATGATATAATGATTCAGCGTGTTAAACTGTTAAGAGGTTGAATCTTGTTCATTGCCAAAACGAAAATGCATCATAAGCTACAGGTCTGCGTTAAAGCTATTGGCGCCAAGGAGCACTAATATATAGACTAATATACTATAATATAGACTATAGAGGATTCACCAACAACGGTTTTTCAAGCTCGATGCACCCCTTGATTTCACCATGCTATAGCACCCCTTTGCTGCTCCGCTTAAGAGGACGCCACATCTGCATGTGTTGTGGTTGTCTCCGTCTTACAATTGCATAATATAGCACATTTTACGCTCAGCAGTTCACGTTATCTCCATTAGTTTAAAAATTAGAGCGAATTGACCTTTTATAACAATTAAAGGTAACATTATTATTTATTATCTAGATTCTAGGTTATCACATGGGCTTTTTATTATATTTTAATATTAAAACGAGTAACGAGTATTTTTAAAATTTTAAATCGTTAAAATCATAAAATACTCACTAGCTTCAAAATAAAAATCGCATATGATAAGCTAGAACCTAGATAATAATGTTATCTTTAATTTTTATAAGAGGTCAATTCACTCTAAATTTTAAACTAACGGCCATACGGGGCGCGATTAGTATGGGCCAAGGCTCAGCTATAGACCACAACTCAATTTTAGATTCTGAACGATGTGATGAATGTATTGATTTTACAATGATGTGTGTTTTTTTTTTGTGTCTGTGTACAGCATAACTAGTCGATATAATGCTTCTATTTCAAACTTTGGGGGTGGTTTCCGATGTAAAATTGAAGATCCTTGGTGCATTATACAGGTCAAAAGTAAACATTTTCCAACAGTTTTCAAAAAAATCGAGAAAAACAAAAAAAAAATGA